TTCCCGGTTATTGTTTCCAGGTCACACACTAATCTCCCGTCTCCCAGTTTTCGCCGCTTTTGTTCTTTGTGCCGTGAATCCTCCTCCTACCTCCTACCACCCTCCCCGGGCACTGTGCTCCTCCCTCTGCCCCGGGGGGTCGAGCGCCGATTTCGGCTGCTGCCTTCAATCTCTGCCGGTCGCTCCCTTCTCCGATCCTGAGCGCGGCTAGGAATTTCCCCGGAGCCAGTAGGAAGCAGAGGGGCCGAGAGGGCGCTACATGTCACCCGATGCTGGGTCGAAGCCGAGCTCAGTTTGCATACTAGTGGACGCAAGGTTAGAGCCCACGTTAAACCTGCACTGTATACAAAAGGACAGATCGCGACTAAAGCTGCAGGGTGTGCATCATATGCCGACGTTGGTTTAAATTCATACTGATCCAGGTTAAATTTACCAAGGGCACAGATAGTGGCCTTGGTTAAGCCACGGGCTGGGAGCACAGGACCCTTGGGCAAACTTGCAACATTTGTGAATAAACTAAACAGGACCCGCTGTCCATTCGGAAAAGAGACACTGGCACTTTACCTCAAATCATCAACAAACGCAGGAAAAATTACTAGTGTGTCAGAGCAGAGTGTGACGAAGCTGAAAATATGGTAAAGAACTGATCATCGGAACAATAACGCCGGGAAAGAAAATTGCATATCTAATCCGAAATGTGTCTCATTTCAATTGAATACTGTTTGCTTTCTTTCTGTGTTAGGCGCTTTTATTCCCTAAACCCATGTGGGCGTTCACACGGAATTAAATGCTCCAGAGTTCAACAAAGCAATTAGAGGGCAGCAATTAGTTGGTAGTTTTGAAAGGTAGCCCGCCTTACTCCACTGCTCCTTGTTAACGTTTGAAAGGCAGCTAATTTAATCAGCCTGTTCAGAAATGTTATGGCACATTCTTGGGGGAGTTGAGACTTGAAGCCAGGCATTCTGATTCAGAAGACAAACACGATCACTGTGCCCCAAACCTTAATGTTCCCACGTGGTTTATTGCTAAGAACCAATTGCCTTTTTTTTTTCCTTAGAATCTGCCCCACCCCCCGACAGGATTCAACTTTAAATAAATCTCAACTTTCCCTTCGTTGCTGTTCCGTGTACGGTAATCTTTCGATTGTTTAATTTCAACGGCGTAGAGCCAGAATTTATCCACTCCTTACTCAAAAACAGGCTCCAGTCCGTCCCCTGTACCCCTTCGTGAAACTCTACTGTATCTAAAAACCACACATTAAAGCTTCAAAACTCATCCCTGTCACAATAAACTCCATCAGCCCATCTGCAATAAAATTAAAATTTTTGAGAATTTCAGCAGGTCTGGCAGCACCTGTAGACAAGTAGAGATAACATTTCAAGTCCGATATGATTTATTAATTCAGTCTGGAGATGTGAAAACCTTTACCACATGGTATGACTCTCTCACTAGCTGTGCTCAACTAGTCTACAAATTTCAGAGTCAGTCGGGGGGGCGCTCTTGTGGCGCAGAGGTGTCCCAGAGCTGAAAATCCTGAGTTTGGGGAGGTGATAAAGTGCTGGTATTTTCACTGGACTGTTGATCCAGAGACAAAAGATAATGTTCTGGGGACTCGGGTTCAAATGCCCCCACAGGCAGACGGTGGAATTTAAATTCAGTGAAAATCTGGAATTAAAGGTGTCTATTGATGATCGTGAATCCATTGTCAATTGTCAGGAAAACCCCACCTTCACTAGTGCCCATTAAGGAAGGAATCTGTCATCCTTACCTGGTCTGGCCTACATGTGACTCCAGACCCACAGCAATGTGGTTGACTCTTAAGTACCCAGAAGGCAGTTAGGTATGGCAATAAATACTGCCTAGCCAGTGATGCCCTCATCCTGTGAATGAATAAAAAAAAAAGTCCCACCTGCTGCAGAGGTGTGTACACATTTCTGACCAGGATGATTTGAAAAATAGTTGAAAAAAAAAGTCATTCACCAATACTCTTGCTGCCTTTGAGACAGGTGGGCACTGCAGGGAGTAGAATGCTTTATCTCTTCCTCTCCCTTACCTTTGATGGTTTGTATTGCCCTTAACAGGCTTTACCTGTGACTTATTAAACTGGAAGCACAGATTATTTACTGGTGGTGCTTAATGGATTTTTAAAAAAGTGATTTGGAGAGGGGTGAAAAATACTTACAAGTTGTGTGTAAGAGCACTTCTGATGCAAGGAAAAAAAAGTCAGCCATCGTCACTATTGTGGATGACCTTCCTTACTACCAGCCTGGACAACTTTATTGCCATTACACTCCTGCATTTCATTAATAGTTACTGGCAATTCAGAACTTTCCTCTCAACTTTAAGCATCGATCGAGGACAGAGTTTTAAAGTGTTTTACAAAAGGAACAAACGTGAGCTGAGAGAAACACTTTTTCAGACAGTAAGTATTTAGGGTCTGAACTGCACTGCCTGGAAGTGTGTGGCAGCAGGTTTAATTGAGGCATTCAAGAGGGCAATAAATAATTATTTAAATAGAAACAATGTGCAAGGTTACAAGGGAAAGGCAGGAGATTGACACTAAGACAAAATACCCAGAGACACGATGGTCCAAAATAGCCTCTTTAACAATTCTGCAAACCTCTTATTGCCGGTTTTCCTACAATCAACAGGTTTAAAAAATTGAAACTTATCTAATAACTGATTTAACTTTAACGGTGACCAGTTTTCTGTTACAAACCTTCATTCTTTTCTAAAAAGAATGAACTCTAAAGAAATTAAGCCATGATCAGAAATCCTACTGGAATTTATCACCCTGAAGAGTAAGAATTATCAATTACATACATTTGGACAAAACAAACGTGCACTTATATAGCATCATATGCAAACTTTAGAGGTGAAAAAGTGCTTTACAGGTAACTAGTTATATTTTAAAGTATGGTTGTTGTTGTAATGTGAGGCAACATGGCATTCAATTTGCACACGATTCATAAATAGCAATAAGAAAAATGATTTTAAGAGAGTGATGATTTGTTAAGGAATAACTCTTATCCAGGACACTAGAAGAACATATCTGCTCTTCACTGAAGTACTATGGGATTTTTCTTAACATCCATCTCACCTAAAAGCACCATGATCAATACAACGGTTCCTCCATACTCTGGTGAAGTGTAAGTTTAGATTATGTATTCATGCCTCTGGTGTGGGCTGGGACCCACAACCTTCCAACTCAACAGAAAAGAATGGCTACTTTGGTTATAAGTGATCAATTCTGGTTTGACTAATTTTACTTATCAAAAAGGAGTTCCTAATACTCAAGTATTTTAAATTCTACTGTATCAATCACACACAGCTCTACAACAGTTTTTCCAAATGATCAAACTCAGAACATGTGCTCTTACTTTGGTTCACAATCTCACTTAAAACTCAGTTGATAAATGTACCATGCGGTTCAACAGCAAAGCTACAGACTCAGGAAAGTGGGAAGCTCCATCACTCATCTTAACTGGGGACAGCAGAAAGGGTGATCTAGCTGGGCAAAAAAAGTCAGCTGAACATCAGACCACTTCCACAAAGTTTCTGGACTTTGGACAGGGCTGAATATAAAGAAGGATGTCACAGTGAATTCCTACTTACTGTCCAAGTGCACAGATGATAAATGGTAAGATGGTAGTTGACATTAATAGAACTGTATGTGAAAGAATATGCTGCTGGGTAGTAACGGTGGCACAGAAAATTGACAAGATATTCTTCACAATCTGGGCACATAAATTTTGATGGCTTGGTTTGGAGTGAAAAGAAGTACTCTTTATGTTCACAATTGACACCGGAACATCAGAATAAAGAACTGTAGTTCTAAAATAAATTTCAGACAAGCTTTCAAGGCAATGAAGGTACAAGGTACCTTTCAAGGTACAATGGAAGAAAATATTGGGTCAATTTATCTATCATACCCTGGTCTCAGAATTATGAACACACTAAAAATAAATCTGCTCTTAATGATGTTTAGGATTTTGAAGTGTTTTAAACTGAATGAACGACTATTCCAAATCTTTTAGCAATTATGCAATTTGTTCATTATTTCAGACCCAAATAAAGTGTTACATAGACATACAAATATTAAGACAAAACACTTGTTAAATCCTACAGTAGTCATCACCGACTTAAATCATAAATCAGGAATAATCAGTACTTACAACATCAAGAGTCAGGTAAACAGTGGGTGATCCCTAGCTGAGCTCCTATGGACAATGTTGGAATGTAAAATTCTCCTTCAGCGTCCCTGGGCGGGGCTTGTTGTAGAATTACTCTCCTTTATATAAGATGGTTATCTGAGCCAGTGCGGGGGATAGTCCTGGCCAGAGGCTTTGTTCTGCAGTTGTGGTGGCAGGTAACCAATAGCAAACATCTACCCCCGCCACTAACAAGCCATAATTCAGCTTTCTCTTACACAACACTCTTGAGATTTGGGAACAATATGTTTTAATATTCATCTTGCTTTAATGTTCTGGTAAACAGTGAAAGGTTGTCACCAAGGTGACAGCGGAATTTCTTCTTTCACCTCTGCAGGTATTGTATCTTTTTTTCATAAATTAAATCATCAATTTCTCTTGGAGTACTGCATTTCTAAATGTCAACTCAATTAGTTATACATTTGGCTCAGAATTAGTAGATAATGGGTTCAAGTCCCATGCTTGACTTTAATCTAAGCTGATCTTCCAATATAGGAGTGCATATTTGTAGATGCAGCCTCTCAGGGTTACCTGTTCCATTGGGCACCAAATGTCTCTCAGTACCATTGAAAGAAGAGCAAAATGTTCTCCAGATATCCTGACCGATATTCCTTCAACAACTAACAATCCAAAAAGGTTGTTGGTCATTCAACTTAGTGCTGCATGTAGGATCCATACATGTGCAAATTAACTCACTGTGTTCATCAGTGTAACAGCAGCTGAGTTTCAGTGGTAACTGTTTGTGAGGCACACTGAACCAACGTAAAATCTCAAATATCCAAATAGAAATTGTTTTAATACACATTTTTTTATTTGGAACACTTCCAACTCTAAAGAAATTCCCTGATTTTAACGCAGCATTAACATTAACAGCTCCCAAATTCCACCCCCCTCCCCCCTCCAATTTGTATAAATATTGAAATAGACAAACTCTTATTTACAGACACAAATAGTTCACAGGTCAGCCCAAAAGTTAAAGGTTGCTGGCCAAAGCGGACAAATATTTTGGAAAAGAAAAGCAGATAATATTTAAAGGCCCAGTTTTTTGCTACTCTATACCACACCAATCACCATCCACATCAATCCACCACAGATTACAAAATCACCACTTGGAAGAAGATATATGTCACGCACATGTTTCCTCGTGTGGCACGTAATTCTGTGGGACCTCAGTGAATCATACAGCGCTTTGTTCTTTAAGTACAAATCAGTTCTTCACAGTACCCTTCCCCACCCCACAAGCTGTTACATTGGAAGATTATGAACGGAATGGAATCTATTGAAAACAGTGTCTGTGTGAAACAGTTGTATACAATGTGCTTAAGAAACGTTTCAGAGTTAGGATCATTATTACACATTATACGCTTCTGTGTAAAAAATAAAATTCAAATACATGGTAACTTCTTTTCATTATACATTTGTGTCCCATTGACCTTTATGAAATGGAGTCCAATCACTTGTGAGGCAAAAGCATTGCTACATGGTAATGCATATCTGGGCTCTTGCGAACACTGTGGTTACAAGGATGGGACAGATGTTCTGGTAGAGATGCACTATTGATGGAAATGAAAAATCCCAAAGCTGCAGCCTGAGAGTCCTGAATCCTGCTGGCTCGGGCACCATGGATTCCCAGTAGGTTCCATCTCCAAGAATCTCATCAGAAAAGAATTGTCAGTTATGGTCTCTCAGGATTGCAATTTCAAAGGAGAAGGCAGAAGGCTACCCCATGTCAAAACTGAACCCAGTGAGTGCTCTGGGTCACTTGGGTGGTAGCAGGGCTGAGGAACAAGAAATTTAAAATTATCAGAAGAATTAATAGAAAATGTATTGTTTTAATTTTTAAAAAAAAATTCTTTCATGCAATGTAGCCATTGCTGGCAAGGCCCAATCCTAATTGCCTTTGAATGGAGTGGCATGCTAGACCCAGGATAGTTACGAGTCAACCACATTATTGTGGGGTTAGGATTTTAATGACAGCCATTGATATGGTCATGGTCACCAATACTTCCAAATTCAGATTTTATTAAATTAATTTTAAACTCCTCCAGCTGCCGTGCTGAAATTTGTATCCATGTTTCCACAGCACTTGCCTGGAACTCTGGATTACTAATCAAGAGACATTGCTGTCACATCCCCATCTCACCCAACTACCTTGATTTAGACAGATATTATGACGCAGTTACTGTGTGCAGCTATCCCTCGTTTAGCACATTTAACATATCCCCAGAAAACAGCATGCTAGATTCTGAGAGATAATATTTATGATTATTTGGAAAAGCACAGTGTGATTAGAAATAGTCAGCATGGCTTTGAGAGGGGCAGGTCATGCCTCACAAGCCTTATTGAATTCTTTGTGGATGTGACAAAACACATTGATGAAGGTCAAGCAGTGGATGTGGTGTATATGGATTTTAGCAAGGCATTTGATAAGGTTCCCATGGTAGGCTCATTCAGAAAATTAGGAGGCATGGGATTCAGGGAAATGTGGCTGTCTAGACACAGAATTGGCTATCCAATAGAAGACAGAGGGTGGTAGTAGATGGAAAGTATTCAGCCTGGAGCTCGGTGACCAGTGGTGTTCCGCAGGGATCTGTACTGGGACCTCTACTCTTTGTGATCTTTATGAATGATTTGGATGAGGAAGTGGAAGGGTGGCTTAGTAAGTTTGCCGATGACACGAAGGTTGGTGGAGTTGTAGATAGAGTGGAGGGCTGTTGTAGGTTGCAGCGGGACATTGACAGGATGCAGAGTTGGGCAAAGAAGTGGCAGATCGAATTCAACGCGGAAAAATGTGAAGTGATTCATTTTGGAAGGTCGAATTTGAATGCAGAATACAGGGTTAATGGCAGGATTCTTGGCAGTGTAGAAGAACAGAGAGATCTTGGGATCCACCTCCACAGATCCCTCAAAGTTGCTACCCAAATTGATAGGGCTGTTAAGAAGGCATATGGTGTGTTGGCTTTCATCAGCAGGGGAATTCAGTTTAAGAGCCATGAAGTTATGCTGCAGCTCTACAAAACCGTGGTTAAACTACATGTGGAATATTGTGTTCAATTCTGGTCAACTCATTATAGGAAGGATGTGGAAGCTTTAGAGAGGGTGCAGAGGAGATTTACCAGAATGCTGCCTGGACTGGAGGGCAGGTCTTATGAGGAAAGGTTGAGGGAGCTAGGGCGTTTTTCATTGGAGCAAAGAAGGATGAGAGGTGACTTGATAGAGGAGTACAAGATGATGAGAGGCACAGATAGACTGGATAGCCAGAGACTTTTTCCCAGGGCAGAAATGACTATTACGAGGGGGCATAATTTTAAGGTGATTGGAGGAAGGTATGGGGAGATGTCAGAGGTAGGTTCTTTACACAGAGAGTGGTGGGCGTGTGGAATGCGCTTCTGGCAGTGGTAGTGGAGTCAGATACTTTAGGGACATTTAAGCGACCCTTAGATAGGCAAATGGATGATAGTAAAATGTAGAGTATGCAGGGTAGTTTGATCTTAGAGTAGGATAATAGGTTGGCACAACATCATAGGCTGAAGGGCCTGTACTGTGCTGTACTATTCTATGTTCTAAATTAACATACATTTCCAGTGAGGAGTGAACACCAGGCCTGACGTCCTGGATCACTACCGGGTCCAGAATCCTGGCATCACAACCAGCTGTTAGCCAGCAGGATCCCAAGAAGACACTAAGCTCTGAATGGAGTTATTGCTGGGAGACTCCAGAGTGGCTGCAGGCAAACACCCCAGACCAGAAGAGGAAGGGAAAGATTTCATTCCAATTGGGAGAGGGCTGGAATCATTTCCTATCCCATTAGAAAAGCCTGGGAATCACTCCCATTCCACAATGTAGGGCCTGTGGTTGCGTCACTTCTCAATAGGGGAAGATGAAATATTTCATTATGGGTTGTTGATTTGCTCACCGAACTGGTATGCTTGTTCGCAAATGTTTTGTCATCATGCTAGGTAACATCATTAGTGCGCCTCCGGTGAAGTGTTGGTGTTCTGTCCCGCTTGCTTTTGTGTGTCTTGGTTTGTTGGGGTGGGTGGCATTACTTCTGGATTTGTTTCTTTGTGGTTGGTATATGGAGTCTAGCTTTACATGTTGGTTAATGGAGTTCCAGTTTGAGTGCCACGCCTCCAGGAATTCTCATGTGTGTCTTTGCTTGGCTTGTCCTAGGATGGCTATGTTGTTCCAGTCGAATCGGTGTCCTTCTTTGTCCACGTGTATTGAAAGGAGTGATAGCTGGTCATCCTGGGCCTCCTCCAGTGTCACAATGATGCCACCCGCAAACTGGAGGAGCAGCACCTCATATTCCACCTCAGGAGCCTACAGTCCAATGGCCTAAATGTGGATTTTACCAGTTTCAAAATCTCCCCACCGCCCCCCCGGGCCTCATCCCATTACCAACCCTCCCTCTCATCCCCGCCTCCTTGACCTGACGCAGCCTGTCCATCTTCTCTCCCACCTATCTGCCCCTCCCACCTCGCTAACCAATCCCCACCACTCCCTATCTGCACTCACCTATCACCATCCCACCTGCTGACCCAAAACGTCAACTTTCCTGCTCCTTTAATGCTGCCTGGCCTGCTGTGTTCCTCCAGCTTCACACTGTGTTATCTCTGACTCCAGTATCGCCAGCTCTTACTATCTCAGATAGTTGGTCATGTCTCTTGATAGCTAGTTGGTGTTCACGAATCCTGATGGCTAGTTTCCTTCTGGTTTGCCCTATGTAAAGTTTTTGGCAGTCTTTGCATGGTATCTTGTAAATAACGTAGGTATTGTTAGTGGTGGTTGTTGGATGCTTTATTCTCGTCAGTAGGTGTCGTAGTGTAGCTATCAGTTTGTGGGCTACCATGATTCCTAGGGGACAGAGTAATCTGGTGGTTATTTCAGAAATGTCTTTAATGTATGGAAGGTTGACTAGTATCTCTGGGACGTGTTGTGCCTTCCTGTTATGGTCTGTTGTGTAGGTATCGACAGACTATGCTTTTTGGGTAACTATTGTTTCTAAAGACACTGTATAGGTATTCTTCCTCAGCTTTGTGTAGCTCTGGGGTGCTGCAGTATGTTGCAGCTCGCTTGAAGTGTTTTGATGCAGCTCCGTTTGTGGGTATTGGGATGATTGCACATAGAGCTGGACCATATATACCAACCACTAAGAAACAAATCCGGAAGTGATGCCACCCACCCCAACAAACAAGACACAAGTAGCAAGCGGTACAGAACACCGACGCTTCACTAGAGGCACTGATGATGTTACCTAGCATGCAAA